CTGAAGGAACAGCCTGTCAGTCGAACTTGAACCTGCAGACAGCAGGGGCTGGTGGGGTGTTTCAGCAGGAGATGGTACAGTTTCGGGTATTTTTTAGCAAGATGTCCCTGGTGTGAGAGGTTCAGGCCTGAGGCCTGCGTTCTCCTCAGCCAGTACATGTAAGAGCTTGGTGTGGCTGCCCAGCTGTGCTCTGACCCTTGCCCACACCCCCATAACTGCCTCTCTGACCACCCTCATGGGCACCCTCCACCCCAGGCTGGACAGTAAGACTTGTGGGTCCTCCAAATTTCAGGATCTCTCAGTCCACAGCCCGTCATCTGTGTTCTGCTCTCCACCAGAAATCCTTCCCCACAAAGGTCCTATCTGGAATCCTATGACACCTCCTCTGAGAAGCCTTCCTGGCCCTCCTCACACACACAACCCCCCCCCTCCAACAATCAGGCTCTTCCTCCCTGACCTCTGTAGGCCAGCAACATTTTTCCCTCTCTCATTGCTCCCATCACATTGCTGAAGACACGTGTTGATGACACGGCCTCCTCCATCAGACTTGAACTCTGGGGAGGCAGGGGCTGAATTTTTTCCATCCCTGTATCTCCCTGTTGGTCACCCTGGCTGCTCAACAAGTGGTTGTCGAATGAAAGCACAGCCTCCACTCGCACTGGTAAGGAAAATTGCTTCCTGACTTTGCAAGCACCCACCTCCTCCAGGCCAATTCAGCTCTCTCTGCCCTGGTTGCACTCAGCACCCTAGGGAGAGCAGAGATGCCAAAAAAGTATTTTGTTCTCAGAAGCACCATGAGATTTGTCCATTGATAGACTCTTCTTGGTGAGGTTTTGGCACATGGTGTCTCCAGCAGAGCTCACACACACAGGGGTCCCAAGCCCCCAAGTGCCATGCCTTTGTGAAGCTTAGTCCCAGAACTGGTACAGGATCACATCTGTTGCATTCTATTGGTTAAAGTAAGTCATGGGCTCAGCCCAGATTTGAGAAGCAGGGACTCCACAAATGCACAGGTACTAGAGATGTTCATTAGGCATCACTTGTGTGACACACGACCACATGACCTTTTCTGACTAATATAAACCCCATAGGTATTCTCCACATATTGTATGGTATGTGTGCACTTTAAGGATGTGGTCACATAGGTGGCAGCCATATTTTTTCTTTTAAGTGGTAAGGACAGATGTTAATCAGTAATACATTTTGCAACAGGAAAAGAGTCCATCATGAACAGAACTCAAATTGGATTTTGTAGAGGTGAACAGGCATTTTAAAGGGAGAATGAGGGAGTAGGGAGAGGAGGCAAACCGGGGCTTAGCACAGTCAGGGAAGTGAGTGGCAGCTTATTTTTGAGAGCAGTTCATTTTTGTGTTCTTTAGGAAATAGGCAACAATCTAAAATTCAGTTAAAAATCACAGCCCACTTTGAAAAAGCCAAGATTGAATTGTGAATTTTGGAGATAATCTCTCATCACTGTAGTTTAAATAAATGGTGAAAAAGCAAGTCACTCCAAATGGTAATTTTGCAACTATTTAAAATAATTTAGGCTCTAACCATAAAGCATATGTAACACACACACTAGCAAAAGTACACTTTCAACTAAATCTATTGAAAAGCAAAACTTGGTGGGAAGGGATCGTCCTGGGCAGAACTACCTGGAAGTGGTCCTGGCTGCTTCTGAAGAGCGAGCCCGTGACACCTGCTGGGTCCATATAGAGACCAGAAGGCTGCCCCGAAGGGCCCACAGACTTAATTCTGCAGGGCAAGCGATGGGCTAGAAGTCCCCTCAGCTGCTTCCTGCCTGAGGATCTGGTTCTGTGATGCCTCAGGTGGCCTGAAAGGGGGGCCAGGACTTAGAAAGAAGGGAAGAAGTAGCATGCACCCTGGGTCTAGGGCAGCATCCTGAGGACCGGTGAGCGGGAACCCCCCAGACTCATCCCAGCGAGCTGTGCTGACGCAGGAGACTCGTGTGGCTTTTCCTGTGTCTTGGGGTCTGGGCTGTTATCCCAGGCTCTCTCCTTCTCCTTTAACTCTCATCACAGGGACCACGTGGTCCACATAATAAAGTCCAAAGAGTGCCATGGGAGAGCAGGAAGTACATAAAGAGCCAGGGACCATTAGGGGTGAGAGGTAAGTGGGGCCCTGACAGCTGAGTTAGCTCGAGTCCCCAGCCGGTGACCACACTGATAACAGGCATGGCAGCCTAACTAGGCCTGACAGAGCCACGCTGGCCACCCCGGGAGCAGCTGCCGCCAGGAGGGTGTGTTCCTCTGGGTCTCGGGCGGCGGCAGTGGATTCCTTACAAACTCACTCGCTCCTTCATCCCTTTATGTAACATACATTTCCAAAGGATCCATAATATACAGGGTCCTACACTTGGAGCTGGAAGTATAATGGCAAACAAGACAGTTTCTTTACTGTCAGCCAAGAGATGCCAAGAAAGGGGCCTGATGACTTCGTAAGAATATTTATTATCATGTTCGACTCTCTGTGACCCCATGGACGGTAGCCCGCCAGGCTCCTCTGTCCCTGGGATTCTCCAGGCAAGAATACTGGAGTGGGTGGCCATGCCCTCCTCCCGGGGATCTTCCTGATCCAGGGATCAAACCCACGGGTTCTTTACCACTGAGCCACCTGGGAAACCCTGTTAAGGGCCAAATCCTGAGCACAGTGATTTCAGGTGTAATCATGAGTGGCAAGTGTTCCTCTCTCCATTTTTTTGTAGTTGAGTAACTGGCCCAAGCTCTCCAGCGTGGGGGCCACTAGTGAATGAGATCGCCTTTGGAGAACACAGCTAGTGAGAATCCATGGTGCTTGAATGCCTGTTCAGAGCCGCCCAAGAGGGTCGCCAAGACTGAGTGGCTGGGACAAGGCAGGGGCATGCAAGGAAGGGCAGGAATGTGTATTTTCAGGGGGGTTGTTGTCATGAAGATGCTGGAACCCCCCAGAAGGACTTGCCCTCTGTCAGCAGGTGTTCTAGCAGGTGCAGGGAGGGTTGGGAGAGGGTGTTCTCAGACAGCAGGGGTCTTGTCCACACTGGTTGCACCCTGGGGTACTGAGAAGCTGCCACAGGGAAGATGCCAGGCCATCTGCAACACCAGCTAGCTCGCAGGGCTCACTGGTACCTTCAGGGGCTAAATCCTTGCCCTAATAATCGAGCAGCAGGTAGGGGTTGGTGGGGCTTACTGGAGCCCATCACAGGCTAGAGTAGCTTCTCCAAGATAGACCCTGGGCTGGAGGACACATTCAGAACAGTGCTAGGCTTCTCCCTTCCTACCGTAACAGCGTGACTATACAGTTCTCAACCTCGAGCAGGGGACATCCTGTACCCCACATAGCACACACTTCCTTTTCTGAACACCCCCATTTCTTCCCTACTCACAGAACACAAATTTATTGCTATTTGGGCCAGTGCAACCACTCCAGCAATATAAATACACAGTTTAACCCTTGATGTAAAAGTCAAGCTCAATTGGGGCTGAAATTCAGTATCCCCAGGGCACTTGGGGGAGCCTAAGACATCTGAGTCTGCAAGAGGAGGGTCACATACACTAGACTAATTCCGGCCACAGGCCAGGGATGATGCACCACTCATTGTGTGTTCTCAGAACTCACTCTATGTCGTGTGCACTGATGCTTCTCCTTGTTCAGGAAACGGTGTACTGGCTCTCCTCGTGATACATTTCAGGTGCTTTTGTTAAGCAAACGAAATGATTTTACAGCCAGAAACTGAAGGAAATCAAGCAAAACTCTTTCAGTATGAAGGAGAGGAGGCACCATCTCTTTAAAGGGCTCATGGCAGCAGGATCTAGAGGCCCATCAAGCTGGTTGAGATGGGCCTGTGAGTCAGGGCCCTATCCCACTGGTGCTAGGAAGGAGGGGGCTGGTAAGTAGGCCTCAGTCACGGGGCCTCAATCTAGACCTTTCTGCCAGAGCTCAGATACAGAGTGACCTGTATTAACACACAACCAATAGCTAATAATAACCCTGAACATTTGTCGAACTCAGTATGTGCATTTAGGCAGCACAACAGCCCCAGAGAGTAGTTGTTATCATTATGCCCATTTTACAGTTGAATTTATTTTTACCATTTACTAGTCCATGAATGTGTTCACTTTCATGCACTGGAGAAGGAAATGGCAACCCACTCCAGTATTCTTGCCTGGAGAATCCCGGGGACGGGAGCCTGGTGGGCTGCCATCTATGGGGTCGCACAGAGTCAGACATGACTGATGTGACTTAGCAGCAGCAGCAGTCCATGAATGTATCATGTATCAGTGGACGTGTCTGTCACTTGTATTTCTCTGTACCTCCTCCCTGGTGCCAAATTCTGCCCATTCAAACCCTGCCTCCTGTGCATCTCCTCACTTTTATTGGTGCCCTTTCACTCACTGGATCCGCTTCTCTTCTCCTTTCTCCTCCTATTTGGACCCTCCCCATCTTCTAGCCATCTGACCACCCGGTGCCCAGTGGTCTTCATCTGACCTCTGACCTCCCCCACCGCCACCCCAGGCCTAAAGCAGTCCGAATCCCAGCTCTATGCTCTCTGGCCTTGCCTGTCCTTGTTTTTGGCCTGTGTACTAGGACAGCCAGGTGCACCCACTTAAAGAGCCTGGGGGCCGTGAGTGATGAGGGAAGGGTCCTCCCAGGGTGAGCTAGGGAGCAGGGGCGGCTAGGCCCCCGGAGGCCACCGGCCTGGCTCCCGGGAGCCGAGGGACAGAGCTCCCCGGCTCTGGGGTGGAGGTGCTGGGCCGAGCTAATCACCTAAATGGACGCAGGCTGCTGAGAGACAGGCTCTATTCCCTAATAGAATTTGCCCTCAAGTGCAATTTAATTTTCTCCGAGGCGGTCTCCAGCCCCTCTGTTCCCCTCCCCCAGACAGACCCTCACTTCCCCAGCTTCCAAGGGGGAGCAGAGCACCTTTTCTCGGAGAAAAGAGGAGAAGGGCCTCCCCTGGGCTCCGTCCTGATCGGTCTGTCTGGCCTCCCGCTTCGGACCAGCTCGCATCCCGCCGGCCACGCCCCTCCCCCAGTTCCCACCCTCGCCGGGGGCGCTGCCCCCTCCCACACACTCCCTGACTTTCCTCTTGAGCTGCCCGCACTCAGCGCTCAGCGAGAACAGCCGCTCCACGCTCCAGTTCTCGCCACGAAGGCAGATTCTTCCCCTGACCTCTGGTAAGTTCACATGCTTCGAGAATTCTCTTTGTCCTGCTTAGTGTCAGAGGCGTGGAGGGGAAGCAGGAGGCGGGTGTGGGAGATGCTCAAGTGGGAGGTGAGGACCCACGTGCACACACACTCTGGCCCTGGTGGAGGGGGCAAAGATGCGCTCAGAGCCCTGTGGTTTGGGGCAGAGCCCAGCGCTCAAGCACCCTGGGGACCTTCCTGGCCCACTACAGCCTCTTCCACTGCCTGTACTTTCCTTGGACTCCCAGATCTCAGACTGCAGTGCCCTGAAACCTGACTCTGGTCACTGGAAATATTGGAAGATGTGGGCATCTGGTCTCTGACTTGTCCTGCTGATTTCAGAGTGGACGAGGCAAGCGTCTTTATAACAGAAGTTGCTGGCCACCTCTTTCTCTAAGAGCCCCTCGGGCTATGACAGGGGCTCAGGGAGGTTGGTGCAGGTTCCTGCCTGGCCTGTGCCCAGGGTCTTGGGCCTCTTTCCCATCCTTCCCCTACTCCCCATCTACTCCTCCCAGCAGAGATGAGTGAAGCCCACGAAGAGAACCTTGGGGGAGGAAAGCAGAGGAAAGGGGCAGGACCCCCAAGATTAGCTGATGTGGCTTCAGGGATGGCAGGAAGACTGTGGGGCATAGACAGGTCCCTGGATTCAGGCAATCCTGTGACTCTCCTTTCTTATCTGGCAAGCCCTGGGAAGGGAACACTAGAATTCCTTTTTTGTTGCCATCAAAGCCTTGAAAAGAGCAAAGGGTGGGGCCGAGGATGAGGGAGAATGGATGGGTGGCAGGTCAGGGTCAACTGCAAGGAGGAGATGGCCATTCTTCAGGCACAGCCACCTGCTCAGGCCCGCTGGCTCCCTTGTGCAGCTGGGGTCACCTCACCAGAGTGCGAGGCCAGCTCCCATGGGGCTTTACTTGTGGGCATCCTCCCTGCTCATTCACCAGCAAATGCTTATAAGACCCTTATTCGGTGCCAGAAACTGCTGGGTGGGAAAGAAGGGACTGTTCTGGGTGTGTGTGTGTGTGTGTGTGTGTGTGTGTGTGTGTGCGCGCGTGCGCGCGCGCGTGTGACTGCAGCATAGGCAAGTCAAAATGCCCAGGAACAGCACTGTCCAACAGCAATATAAAAGCTAGCCACTTGAGTAATTTTAAGTTTTCTGATAGCGATGCTAATAGGAGAAAGAAGTGAAATGAATACTCGATTTTATTTAACCCCAGATAACCAAATGACTGGGCTTCCCTAATGCCTCAATGGGTAAAGATTCTGCCTGCCTGCAATGCAGGAGATGCAGGTTTGATCCCTGGTTCTGGAAGATCCCATGGAGAAGGAAATGGCAACCCACTCCAGTATTCTTGCCTGAAGACTCCCATGGACAGAGGAACCTGGTGAGCTGCAGTCCAGGGGGTTACACAGAGTCAGACACGACTGAGCAACTAAACACAACACACATCTAAGACTCATCATTTCTACATGTAATAAAAGTTTCTAAAATCTTAATGAGATACTTTACAGTCTTTTTGGTATGAAATCTTAGAAATGCAACTTGTAATTGACATTTACAGCGTGTTATGTTTCCAGCTGGCCACATCTTTCAGCAGCCACATGTGCTAGTGGCTTCTGTATTGGGCAGCACTGCCCTAAAGCACTCATGCACACCGTGGGGTCCAGGGGCCAGCAGCACTGGCATCTCTTGGCAGCTTGTTGAAAATGCAGAGTCTCTTGTCCCAGACTTGCTGAATCAGAATCTGTATTCAAACAAAATGCCCAGGTGATTGATGCTCATTGTAAATCCGAGGACCCTGGGTGTGTAGGGGCAGCAGAGTAGAATGAATTTTACAGAGCATTTGCTTTAGGGGCTTTTCATATTGGATCTCAACCCCTTCTCAGGGGGAATGACCTGAGTATTACCACCCCTGCTAACACAGGAAAACAGAGGCTGGGAAAGCTCACAGCCACAGAGCTCGGATGTAGAGAAGACCCAGGGTTTATGTCTTCTATGAAATGCTTCCTTGGTGAGGTCTGGGGGAAATCCTTTACCCCTCAGAGTTCTCAGTATATCTTCCTTGACCATCAAAAATGGCTTCAGTGGGACTTCCCTGGTGGTCCAGTGGCTAAGACTCCGTGCTCCCTGAGCAGGGGGCCCGGTTCGATCTCTGTGCAGGGAACTAGATCCCATATGCCACAACTAAGGCCCTGAGCTGACAAATAAATAACAAGCAAATATTTTTTCAAAAAGTGGCCATAGTCACAGTATATCTTGCTCCCTCCACTGAGGCATATGAGCAAACAGGCCCCAAGCGAACTTGGGCCGTGAAAGGAAGAGATGATCAAGTGGTGAGAGAAGAAATCAGCGCCGTGTTCTTTGTCCTCCTAACACTCACACTGGCATTTGCGGGGGACTTTCCGTGTGCCAGCCCCTGTGCTGACAGTGGAGCCCTTCTGCGACAACACGGCCAGGCAAGAACAAGCACTGTCCACATACCAGGCAGTGAGTGGAAGCTCAGAGGGGGTCCCCCTGTAGCAGGCAGCAACATTGAAGTTCATGTGGTTCTAGGGTGGGCGGTGTCTGACCACCGCCCCCCAACGACTTCTCACACGATCCCCACCCCCACCCCAACCTTTCTCCTGTTGCCTCTGCCCACATCTAGCACATTCACATTTTTTTGGTTGTAAGTCAGTTCCTGAGAGGAAACTGCTGAGTTAAGCTCCTCCAGTAAAAACCTTTGGCCAAGATGATGACGGAGTTGTTTTATAGATTAGCCTTGACACCTGCAGCTATTTCCAAATGGAGCCAGGCAGGACTTCCACCCCTCCCCCTCCTGCTCCCCATTTACAGCCTCCTCCCTAGAAGCTGAGACAACGGAGCATCAGGTTAGAGGCTCTGGGGCTGGGCCCTGGTACCCTAGAGCAGGCAGCCCCACCTTTCTGCGCTGTTTCCTCATTGGTAGAGTGGTCGGATTACGAAGGGCCCTAACTACCTTGTGATGCTTAAGTGAGAAGAGGTGTGGAAAGGCCCCTAACCAACCATAAAGCACTGAGAGATAGGGGTCACTGGATCATTCTTGGATTCAGGATGCCTCTGGGTCCTGGAGACTGAAGAGGGACATGGGGAAGGGAGAGCAAGTTCGGCTGTGTGCAACCTCTGGAGTCCAAGTTCTTTTTGCAAATGATCTTGAGTATTAGGTGAACATTCAAAACAAAGGTAAAGAGAGCAGGATTGCAGGTTGTGTGGACAGAGCAGCTTCCGAAGAGAAGATACAGAATCGGGTATCTCAGCGTGCTATGGAGAGGCTGTTTGGAAAAGCAGGCAGAAGGAACACAGCCCAGTTATTGGTGATGACCGTGAGTCACCTTCTTAACAACCACCACAATGACACTTGAGGGCCTTCTGTGCGTTGAGCGCTGGGTTCTGGAGTTTATATGCATTATCTCTAGTCCAACAAGTACCCTATAATGTAGAGGGGCCATCTCCCCATTTTACAGATGAGAAGGGAAGCTAGCAAGGTTAAGTAACTTTCCCTAGGTGTCAGGTGAGCCCTGATGGTCTGACCCATTGCACCAGAGGCTCTTTTCAGGGATCCCTTCTCCCAGCCACCACCCAGCTGTGCCTTCCTGCCCCCTTTGCTCGGTACAAAAGCTGCCTGTTTCCTTAATGGAGTGACAACTTATCATAATATAGTTAAAATTTCACCCAAGGAGTAATTTAGGCATCTTTACCTCAGCTTGTGACCTACTCTTGGGTAAGAGTAGATTTCCACCTCCAAAGGGGAAAGAAAACAAAAACCCATGATCATGGGTCTCTCCCTCCCAACTAACATTTTCAGGAAAGAAGAGCTCCTAAGTTCCAGTCTTTACTTGAAAGCATTCTGAAGAATTTCTCGTCTCTTGGTTTCTCCCATAAATACCAAAGACTAAAAAGTAAAACAGGCAAAATACTATAGAGGGGATACAATAATGATGCAGGTTCCTAGTTGCTTCAGGTGACCATCTGTGACAAGAATACTACCATTATTTAGCCACTGAGAAGGCAAAGTAAGGGACCTGCCAAAGGTTACCCAAGTTAGGATGTACACAGTTGGGATTTGAATTCAGGTACTCTGAGCCCAGAACCCAAACGTCTGCTAACCCAGGCTCTGCCTCCCTCCCAGTACAAGGAAGGCAGATGTCCCTGAGGAACTTAGCTGACTCTATTCCACAGGTGTGCTGGGAATCATGAAGCAAGGTAATCTGCACTTGGCACTCTGGGTCATTGTCTTCCAGGGCCCAGCAAGAAGCTGGCATTCAATGGGTATTTAGTGAATACATAAATTAAGAAATAATCTAAAATATCCTAGATTTTGTATAGGAAATAAAAAGAAAAAACTCTGAGATTAGAATGAAACCAAATTCCTCAATTCATTCCCCTGCTTCCCATACACATAGGCCATGGGGTGTTATGGCTGCACAGATGGATCTCAGAAGACTTGGCCTCGCTCGGTGATATATCCTGTTCTACCACCAGGCTATGCCCAGGGGCCTTCAAATAAAAGTTACTTCATGGTGCTAGCAATAGAGCCAGACTACCTATGACCATAACCTGGCCCCACTGCTTACTATCTGTGCAACCTTGGGCACATCACTTGACTGCTCTGTGCTGACTCAGTTTTCTCATCTATAAAATGGGGATAATAATAGTTCCTGCCTCAGTGGATTTGTGAGGGTTAAATGACTTAATATATACCGAACACTTAGAGTAGTGCAGGTGATATGAGTGTTAGCTATTGTCAATTTCCTTCTTCCTCTAAGGATCCCAGTGCCCTTTACTTATTCTGTTTCTCAGCTACTTACTGACTCATAATCTCGTTTTGAGAGTTAGATGTCCAAGAACAGGACCATCTCTTTTCCATGTCCCTTAAATTCCTGTGTCAAGGACACAGGGCAGGTTTAAGATGAGCAACAACTGATCAGCATCCCTGGGGGGAGAGATCCCTGGAAGATTCTGGGAAGAGAAAGAGACAAATGACAAAGTGGTGGGCTCACAAAAGAGGCCTGTGACAAATGACTGGGAGGACTGGGTGGACAGATGGAGAAGAGCAAAGGCCCCTGTCCTTTTATTGGAGAACTCCTTGTGGCTCCCTGAACAAGACAGTGGCTCCCTAGGGGCTGGGCTAAGGGTTGGTCTCCCTGGTTTTCTCTGCTGGGATGAGTAATATGGACCAGGGCAGAGGGTCTATATCAATCTAGCCCAGCAGAAAAATGAATGAAAATTGAATTCCCCAAGGAGAATTGGGGAGCTGTTATCCAGACAGAGATAAATCAAAGGATGCCATAGAGACAGGGAGAGCAGGTTTCCAACAGCAGGAGAATAATTAAGGAAACAGTTTCGAAATGCAAATGATAAAAGAGGGTTTGAGAGGAATAAGGACAGGGAGGAGATCATTGGAGATGGGGTGACAAGGAGCAGAGGCAGTGAATTTGTCCCTCAGCGGGAAAAGAGACGGGGCTTCAGGATTCCTGGCGTCTGAGGGTGAACTCTCCCACTCTGTGAAGTTCCGAAAATGCAAGGGTTAGAAGACACACAAGTCTGCTGTGCCCAGTGGAAAGAGCACCAGATTGGGAGTCAAGGGCTGGATTTAATTTCCAGTTGACTCTGTAACTTATTAGCAGTGTGACCTTAGGCAAACCACTTAACTTCTCCGTTTCCTGATAGTCATACCCAAGCCCTGGCATGATGATGAAGATCAAATGAGATAAAATATGTGGAGAAACTTTGTAAAATGTAAAGTGCTAGACAAATGCAAGCTTTAATCATTTTCTTAAATTGAGTTTCTGGAGAGTCTTCCCTCAGAATTGGATCCACTGACATGTTGGGTTTGGTTCCCAGAAATGTAATATGTAAATGTCCAGAAAGTACTGGATACTCTTCCTGACTATTGACCGATTGCCCTGACAGAACTTTAGATCTGGGAAAGCCACATGGCCACCAGCCATGAGTGGTGGCTGGTACCTGCCCTCCTGCTGGGGTGTAGCTAAAAGGCACAGGTCTGAGGAGGCTCTGAGGACCATTGTTCCTGGGATGTCATCTGCAAGCTGTGTACAGCCTTCACTGGGAAAAGCCCTGAGTTAGCTCAGAGGTTTAAGTCCAAACACCTCGATGGTTTTCCTGGGCTATTCCAGTAGACTGTCTGCTCTCTGTGGGAACTAGTCCTTCTTCCATTCTGTGGGGGGTTGGGGCAGGGAGACTAGCTTAGCCCATTATCCTCAGTGTTTTCACCCTCCAATGCCACTTATGAAATTGTTGTGAATAATAGATGGAATTACACAGGTAGAAGCTCTTACCTTGGTGCCGGGCACAGTTTTACACTTTCAGTAAATATTGGTTGTTATTATTACCACCACAGGTTACTATGTTGATGTTATTATTATTGCTATCTGTAGTGGCAGGCCCTAAAAGGTACATTTAAGGGAAGCTATTTCTTTTTTAAACTGGAGATTCATTATTAGATGGGACAGGTAAGGGCCCAGGAGGAAACTGAAATACCTTGGCAGATGTAGGTGTTAGTGAAAGATCTTGGGAGTGGGATTCAGCTCATACCAGGAGACAGATACCTCTAGAGAACTATAGGAATGCAAAAAGGGTATTTATTGGTGGAGCTGCTTTGTGGGTACCTATGGGGACACAGAGGGATGTTGGGGGAACTGCTGCTCACAAGTCAAGAAGTGACAGCAGAATGGGTCTCCCAGGGCTCTTGTGCCATTGGGTAGAGTTGAAAGTGGCATCCCCTGAACAGCCCTGGGCACAGAAGAGTCCCCACCACAGTAATGCTGCCCCCAATCCAGTGACAGGCTAATGACATGCAGTGAGAAGAGGGCAGGACCCAGGCAGGTTCATTCAAGGGGAGCAGGAGCTGCAGAGAGCATTTTAAAATTATAATATTAAATCATAGAAGTAATTATGCATATGCTTCACATTTCACTGCATATAAATATTTTATCTTTCATTAATATTACTGAAAACATATATCAACTTTACAGGAAATTTGGAAAAGAAAAAATTCCTTAAAATACATTTCCCTAATATACTTTTTTCCGTAATACACATCTAAATAGCATTCTAATATATTTTCTTCCAGTTTTTCCCCAAAGTTTTTGAAAAACAACTTATTTTTTTTTCTGCTTTATAAAATAATGTGCTCATCGAGGAAACTGAAAAGAGCAAAAAGAAGAAAATAAAAATTGTAATGTACAGATAACCACTTTTGTATTTTAGCATATATTTCTATCTACGCTTGTTTAAAAAATATCCTAAAGTCCATACTGCTTCACATTCTCATTTTTCCCTCACCTCCTTATAAATCTGGAACAGTTTTCTACATTATTAAATATCCTGTTGTATTTTCAAATGACTATAATATTCCATTTATATACTCTAATAATCCCCTATTGTTGGATATATAGATTATCCTCTTTAAATGTTATAAACATATATCATTATAGATATTATTCTTGATTATTTTGTGTGGACAAATTTTTATATGAATGAGGTCAAATCCATCACACTGTTAGGTTATAAAAGATATTGCCAAAATGCCCTCAGAAGACATTGTTCCTCTTTGCATACCTACCAAGAAACTGTTTTCTAATTTTCCCTCACACCCTAGCCAACAATGGGATTACCACTGCTTTTATCTTTGACTAACATTTTTACATACTTATAATCATACAATATTGCATCCTGCTTTTAAAATTTTTAGTATTTCACAAGCATTTCCATGTTGCAAGGTTTCATAATTAGTTTCAATAATTGTATAACATTATTTTTCTTTTATTGAATATTTGGGTTGTTTAAGCATCTTCTTGTCTGAAACTTTTTTCGAATTTTATTATTTCAGTAGAATAGACACTCAAAAGTGGAATGACATGAGGTAAAGAGTATGAATAGTTTATGGACTTGATACATATTGCCCAATTGCTTTTCAAACGAATTTAAGAGCTTATAAACACATTAGCAATGTTTGTGAGAGAAACAGTCTCCAAGCACCTGCAACAGCAGTGAATTCTACGATTCCTCCTCCCCCGCTCTTCACTGAACAGACAGAAAGAGGTTTATGTACAAGATGTTTTGTTTTGCTTTTCTTTGGTTCTTAATGAGGCTGGCATTTCCTCGTGATTGCTAGCAAAAGTTTTCGTAGAAAACATTTTGGTAAACTCTGAAAATGTTACCTGGTTCTTGGCATCTTGTGCACTGGAATTGCCTCGCAGGTAGGCAGGGCAAGAGACGATACCAACCGAGCTCCAGGACACACAGAAGTCAGTGCGACTTCATTGAAGACAAATTCTAAGCGCTGACAGCCATGCCATGCTCGCCCACTGTCACGCTTGTCCCTCACCAGTCCTGCTGTCCCCTCTTCGTGGGCAACACCAGGAGAAAAAGCTGGATGGTTGGAGAGAGAGCACCCAGTTCCCCTTCCCACTCGAGCCAAACCCCACTAAGCTGGGATCACACGTCTGTCCATGTCTCTGGAACGAAATTCAGAGTGGCGGTGTTGTGAGGGCTGGGATCCGGAGAGTCGCCTATTAGGATAGGATCCTAGGATCCGGAGAGGGTCCTAACGCAGGGGGATGGGCTTCTCGCGCCTGCAGTCAGGCGGCGTCGAGAAGCTGATGAAGCACTCGGAGGAGACCCGTTCCATCGATGGGCCTTCTGTTTTATTTCCTCCAGGACCTCGTGCGGAGAATTGGTGTTTGTGTGTGTCTTGTAAATACCATAAGCGTTATGGTATGTAAAGTGTTATTGTACGTAAATACCATAACACGCGCGCCTTCGCTCGTTAGCCCCAGGGTGGGTGTGCGCGCTGCCGCCCTGAACGCACGAGGTGGGGAATTGTTCAAAACACCCGCGGTAACAGCGGGTGAGGCAGGGCGGTCTCGAAGGACTGAGGGCAGGACGAGCGAGGCGGCCGCAGGCAGAGCGGCCGGGACGGGGCGGAGGAGGACCGAAGAGTCCGCTGGGAGCCGCAGGCCGAGGTGTGCGGGGGCGCGCACCCGGGGGTCCGCGCCCCGCTACCTCCGCGCGCAGCCCCTGGCGGCCCTCCACCACCGGCCGCCGCCCGCTGCGTGACTCGCGCGCTCCGGGCTGAGTACCGGCTGTCCCTGGCCCGGCCTCAGCCAGACGCGTGGGAGAGAGAGCAAGGACTGGGAAGCGCCGGCGGGAAAGGAGTTGGCTGGAGGAGAAGAGGAGGAGGCCGAGGACGAGGAGGATGGAGTCATCTAGTTACGGAGCGCGCTCGATCATCAGGCCAGGAGAAGCCCGGGACCGAGAGCGCGCGACGGGAAGACCCCCGCCGAGCGGCCCGGCCTCGGGGCGCCTGCCCCGCCCTTTGGTTCGAACGGAGAAGCGGAGAGGACAAGAGCCGCCCGCTGGGGCCGGGACCCCCGCCCCTCCTTCCTCGGGGAAACCCACGGAACCCCCGAAGACCCGGACACCGCCGTCCGGGACACCTGCTGCCGCGGCCGAGCTAGCCGCAGTATTTATACCCGGGGCGCGAGCGCGCACAGCGGGCAGCGGGTGGGGGAAGGCCCGCGAGGCCCCGCCCCACTCCATGCGGTCCCGCCCTCCTGCCTGGCCGGCCTCCCTTGGGGCGCTGGGACCCTCACTCCGGCCTGGGTCCGCCGCCTGCTGCCCGGTGGGGGGCTTGGCTGAAGGGCGGGCCTGCCTGCGGAAAGCGACGTCACGGCCGTTCCTGCAGTGTGAATGAATCAAAATGCCTGGGTGACCGCGGCCTCCCCGGCGGCCGGCACGCCAAGGGTGGAGCGGGAGGGGGAGGGAAGCGGGCGGGGGAGGGAGGAGGGGAAAAAAAAGCCAGAGCTGCAGCAACAGCGTCTCCTCAACCCGGGATGTGCACCAACCCGGGAGAGGGAGATCAAAGGGATTTGAAACAGACCGGGGACTGGCAGGGGGAGGGGGCCAGGCAGCCTGTGGAATCTTGCTGGAGAAGCGGAGGGTCCGCTTCCACCGTGACTTCGGCGGTCTGGTTGGGTGTTTTTATTATTATTATTATTATTATTTTCCAATTTCTGAATCCAGCTTGAGCGAGAGATCTCCGTAGACTGCGACTCGCTGGCTCTCGCTCGGAGATGATGCAGAGCGCAGCTGTCCCCGCGGAGGGGGCTGTCAAGGGGCTCCCGGAGATGCTTGGTGTGCCGATGCAACGTAAGACACCCCCCTTTCTCGCTGATTTAATTCGATAGCCAGACAGCCAGCAGCTTTGGCCGGTTTGGGGCGGGCCGAACGCTGCGCGTAGCCTGGACCGGAGGGGACGGGCGGGGCGAGGGGCCGACGGCCGGGGCGCAGAGGCGGTCACAGGGCAGGGGCACCAGCCAGAGTGCGTTTGAAGGGCCTGGCCCTTGGCTTTGGGGGCCGAAAGTGAACGCCTCCGGGATGGTGCTTGAGGCGAACCGAGGGATACCGAACCCCGCATCCCCAGCCCGTGGCTTTTCTAGGAGCGTGGGGGAGAGTGCTGTTTGGGGACGCTAGGGGAACAGGCTGCAGGCCAGGCCAGGCCAGAGTCCTGGGGTGGTCGCCCCCCCTCGGGGGGGGGGGCGCGGGGAGGGCTACAGTCAAAGCTCGCAGTACCGCTAGTGCAACTTCACCCCAGCTGGAGAAAAGTTGGAGAGCGCGTCCCCCGCCCCCGGGGCTGGCGGCACAGAAGCCCAGGCCACACTCTCTGTCCCCGCGCGCAGGGTGTGCGCGCCTGGTGCGTCCCCAGCCAATGCTGTCCGCAGCGCCCGCCGCCTGCGCCGCCGGGAGCTGCCAGCTCCTAGTGAGGAATCCACTCGCCATATTCTAGCAAGCCGAGGAATGAAGGGAGGGGGAGCACCAGGACGAAGTTCTGAACTCGGGGTACATCCTTGGCGCACGAGAGGGCAGGTTTCGGGATGGCTTGGACTCGGAAGGGAAGAGATTAGAGCGTAACGGCGCTTTGCTCGCCCGCTCGCTTGTCTTTCCTGCGCCCGAAATTAGGAAGGTGGCCGGAGCTCAGAGCCTGTTAATCTTCAGGTGTGTGTGTGTGCGCGCAGGGATTTTCCAGGTGGGAATCTGTTTCTGTCCCTCACTCGCAAAGGGTGAGTCTTCGGTGGAAAATCTGTGCAGAGGCCAGAGCAGGTCCCGTGGCGTCGCGCGCGCGTGGCGGGCGCCGCGCGAGCCCTGCTCCGCAGGCTCTAGGGTTCCGCGGAACGCCCCTGGTCATGGTAGAGAGAAGAAGGGCTTCCTCCCTCTACTCGCCGAGGGGTTTCCGCCTGCGACTTCTTACGTGGAGCGGTAGCTACGTCCTTGAGGTTTAAGTTAGAGCCGGCTCATCCACGGATGGTACCTACCTACGAACTACGGTGCGCGAGCGCGCCCTCCTGCGCCCCGGCTCTCCATGACAAGGTTCTGCCCCAGCAATACCTCAAAGGTGGGCTGGCGAGTGTGCCCCGACTCCGCGACTTCCTAAGAAGTTTGTGAGAAGGGATTAGAAGAGGATAGCTTCACTCAAATCTATTTGGGTTGTTCCTTGACTATATCCTACAGTTATCTTTTGTGTCTTTTTCGGTCAATTGTTGACAATTCTAAGTCTGCGCTGTGCCTTCGGGAGTTTACTGCTAAGATGTGTCTGTAGAAGGTGTTGGGGGCTCCCTGACTCCTTACTCCCCTCATCCACCAAGGGCAGGGAGGGAGGGGGTTGTCAGACCCCTCGAACACACACAAACCCTGTCAAACGTGCTCCAACTTAAGCTGATTGTCACTCTGTGCAAGTGAGGGGAGTGTGAGAGTGGATGACGGTGTGTGTTTCCTGAGTCCTTTTACTGGGTGCAGCTGTGATTTAATAGCCGTGGTCCATAGGTAACCTGTGTTAGGACTGCAACATAATACAGGGGGTTTTGCTCTGACAGCCTTTCTTTGGATGCCTCGCACACACTCTCAGATGGTCTCACTTTTTGTTTTTCTTACTCAGAGACAACTTTAATTCCATAATCAGGAACTCGATTTCCTAAAATGCCTAGAACTCACCCTCAGAGTGACAGTTCGCCAGGGCTCAGCATCTGGGGTCGAAGTGTGGAAAACTTAAGGAGGTAGAGAAGGGGACTCTCATTCCAGGGTGGTCCAGCAAGGCAAGGCTGAACTAGGAGGGGGTGGTCTGTCCTTCCTTTTGTCTTGCCCCGGTTCTGTGGCCTAGGTTGGAGGTGGCACTGGCCAAAATTGAGGGCACCAATCCCCTTGGAGATTGGGATCAGCTTTTTTTTTTTCTTTGGGGGATGTATGTGGATTGTTCTCTCACCCATTGCAGCAGATCTGGCTTCTGGCTATTAAGCTGCTGGTGCTGGGAACTGGGGGTGGAGGGAAGGAGGGGGGCTAGTCCTCTCTGGCATATATATCCAAGCATTCTCTTTCTTGGGATGTAGGACCCAGTAACCTAAAAATTCCATGTAGAAGTGGACATGCCCCTGGGCCTCAGGGAGGGAGCAGGGTAATCCTGGGATGTGGGTGTTTAAACCTGGGGTGGGGGTTGGAGAAGAGAAAAGCTCTCCAACACAGGTCCCTCCACACCACCAACTGGAAGGCTTACCCATCCTCCCATCCCCACAACGGCCACCTTCTGCTTCTTCACCCTGAGCCACCACAGATGGAGCACAGGTCTAGAGATCCCCCTACTTCAGTGCCTCTGGTGCCCTGGCCTCTAGGGGCATTGTAGGGGTTGGAATCCAGTTTGGTCTTCTGCTTTGAGCGCTTGGTTTAGGCGCATTCCCTTCAGGAAAACATCACCAAGTTATGTAATCATTTCTCTCTCGGCAGTCCTCTTCCTTACACCCTATCCGCTCCCATACTCCCCAGCCCTCCCCCACCTCCACCACACACACAATGCTTGCTCCTGGGCCGCCTGGTCTATGGCGCTCCCTGTCCCCCAGATTCACCACTTGGAGGTTGCAGAGCAGGTCCCGGCCTCTCTCCCACAGCCCCTGGGTCACCTGATCAGGATGCGCTGGGTTCAGGCTCTCTTGGGACAAGCTGGGAGTCTTCATCCCTTTGAGGGGCATTGGCCTGAGCAAGAAGCTTGGAAGAATCTGGAAGGAGGAGGCTGGGAGCAATCCGAGAGCAATTTAGGGTAGAGAAATAAAACATCCCCCACCCCCACCCCACTTAAAGCTTGGACTGGTCGCCTGGGCAGCGCCCCCTCCTGCTTCAGGTCAGTGTTTTCTAAAGAACTCAAACCCTGGCTCCTTGCTCCTCAGTCACATCCAGCACCAGAGGAGATCATTGTTTTGTGGGTGTGGGCAGACGGGTTCAGGAAACGACCTTGTTCTAAGTTGATGGGTCCCGGCTACTTGGCCCACGATCTAGGGTAGCTGGTTTCTCTTGTTCCCCACACAGCCTGTCTTTGTCTGGGTGGTCCTCGCTGTGTCCCTCAGGGCTGCCAAGGTCGGAGTCCCCACAGCGCCTGAGCCTGGGCGGCGATGGGTGCGGTGGCTTCTCAGCTTCCTCCTCCGAACCTCTCTTCTCCCCGAATCCAGCGGTTCCAGTCCTGTTGGCCCCTCTTGCTGGCCAAGACGTTTAGGAACAATGAGGGACATTGTGGGGGGGCGGCGTTTTATCTGCCCCTTGCCTTCGGTTTTGGCCCATCTCACAAGTAGACTTCTCCCGGGGCACCAAGGAAAGGAAAACGGACATCCGAGAATGTTGGCTGGAGAGCGGCCCAATCCCGCGGGAGGAAGGACTGATTGGCCCGGTCCAGACTAGGGATGGTGAATGGGAAGCAGGCCGGGGGCGGAGGTCATCCATCTCTTACTTGTGTCCTAAGAAAATCTATCTTGCAGCTCTCGTGGACCCCGAAGATGTGGGCAAGGGTGTTTGGTTTTGTATTTGGTAGGATCTGGGCAAAGGATGTCTCAGGACGCCTCACTAGCCTTCTTCCCTTCCGGGTGCTCCTGCGTGGGGTGAGTTCTCCCTGCCCTGGTCGCCCCGACTCCTCGCCCCCAACCTTAAACTCTTGCAGGCTGTATCTTAAGGGTGGAGTAAACCCATTTCCCGGCCGGGAGTTCTCTTCAACTCTGGAACTGCGATTTGCTCTTCTTCCCATTCTTGCCTTTTCTTGTGGTTCCAGGGGAGGTTAAAAGGGGGGGGGGGGGGGAATATACAGAGAGATTGAAATTTCATCAGATTCCGATACAGATATTCAAACAGCAGCCTCCAACACCGCAAGCCTCTTTCCCTGAGTCATAAAAATGTAGTCCGGCGCGGGCCAACTTTTACAGGTCAGACTGTTTGGTCCCGCCGGCAGATTTGGGCCTCGCCCGTTGGGGCTTCGGACCCTCCCTCCGCGAGGATCCTGTCCCACCATCCGGCCGGAGCTACGCACCAGTCAGAAGTAATTTGGAGAAACCCGGGTGAGCGAGGCCGTGCCTCGTTCGGGGCGGCGGGGGCCGCGGCGCCCGAGGGGCTCGCTGCTCGGGCCTCCTCGGTTCCCATGCCTACATCGGAGAGG